ACTTCTAGTAAAGGCTCAGCTGGTGAGGAATGATACAGGCTTTCCTTGGTGGTGTCTTCTGTTGTCCTTTGTGCTCAGGAGGCTTCAGAGGTACAGATGTCACAGGGCTGTGATTTCAAAGCTGCCAGCATCTGATAGCAGCAGCGTGAGTTATAGTAAGAGCTGATGTAGACTAATAGGATGCTGAAATGTAACTATCAGGGTGCATGGTTGGGCTCTGCTTGTAGTTGGAGAAGTTCGCTGACATCCAGGAGCACAGCCCCTCATGGAAAGGGTGTGCAAAGCATCATTGGGCTCTGTTGTTTTTCCATTTTATTTCATCTAGCACATGTTTCAGCTCAAACTGTTAGAAAGATGAACGAGGGCTTACTTACGAGCACTTACTTTCCATATAATCCGTAATGTGAGGAAATCTAAACCTACAAGGATTGATTTTAATTTCCTCTAAAAAGTTGCTCCTGGCAGAATCTGATAAAGCTGGTTTTAGTCTAATTCTTCCCAGCCCTGCCCTTGGTGAGCTATCGGAGCATACCTATCTTTGGGAATTCAATTGGTGATCACCGTAGCTTGCATTCATTATCTCAGATACCTCCCAAATCGCTGGCTGATGCGCAGGGGCCTGGAGAAGTGGTCTGACAGCATTTTCTGAAACTTTCTACTTTTGAGGAAGAACGTTCCCAGGTTCTTGCTGGTGGTTTGCTTTTCTGCCCCCACACTGAGCTTGCCCATTCAGGGCGGAAAACCAAGGAGAAGGAGAGTCTCTCCACAGCTCTCGACTGCTCTATGCTGCTGCTTTCTTTTCACCAAGATTTACTTATTTGTGCCCAGGGTTGTTGAGTCCTTTCGGTGCCAGATTGACGTTGCTCACAGCCCTCAGCCTGGCAGCAGCACGGCCACAGCCCGAGCTCCCAGTACAGAAGAGCAGGTCATGGTCTCCTGCAGGAGAGTCAGAACTTGGGCCCAACCAGCTGGAAATTTTGTACAAATTTTTAAGAGCTTTTGGGGTACATATTCTGTTTTTTTGCCTGCTACCAGCCTGGTGAATCAGGTAGCAGCCGTCCTATCTTAGAGAGCTCTTAATGAACAAGACGTACCCTCACCTTCCAGAATGTCAGAGTAGGAGATGCACCAAGGGTTGGTTTAAAGCAGTTTGCACGTACTTGGTAAAATAGAATAATCTTTGTCATTCCTGCACTCTGAAACAGAAAACAAATTTCTGTGGAAACAAAAACACAGGCTTGCCACTGCGCTGGAGCAGAGTGATGCATTGTAGGAGAGATTTAGCATCGTGTTCTGACCTTTCTGGAAAGAGTTGATACGGAAATATTTTTGTCGTATTTATTTAAACTTTTTTCTTGCATTTATTTAAACTGGGCAGTATATTTATTTGAAAAAATCAGCAGTATGCCAATCCCCAGTCTTTGGCATGTTAACAAAACTAATCATGCAATAAACATAATACCCTTAAATCTGTGCTCAGATGCTTTGATCCTAGTGCTCTTAAGAAAGTCCTTTCATTCTTATTCTCCACGTAAAGCACCAGGTGCGACTGCGGTGATTTTAGGAGATAATAAAGATAATAATAAGAGAAAGGTTTACTGGAGTCTTTAGCGTAGTGGCTATAGCTGATTTTTTTTTAAATAGTATTTCTATATTATTTTATGTGCCACAATTGTCTTGTTTTTTTTTAAGAAACTGTTGTTTTTGTCCCACCCTCCATGCCTGGCTATTCTCCCAGGTTCACCCAGGGGTGCTGTTTATTGCTGTGCCTCTATTGCAGGCTGAAAACAGCATTTCAGAGACACGTTTTCAAGCACTTGAGGGGAGGCAGAGGCGGGTTGACCATAGGCAAGCCCAGTTGCATGTGATTCTCAACTCTAGGAAGCTGGTGAGTGGAAAAAAGTCAATACAATACTTTGGCTACACCTTCAGGGCTGGATCCAGAGGTGATTAAAACTACCAGAAGTCTTTCTGTTGACTTCAAAGAGCCTTGGATGAGGCTGCTGTTCCACCCGCCCATCCCTAGTACTTGGAAGTATTTTCTACAGGGAGTGGGAGGGGGATAGGAAAGAAATAAAGAAAAGAAAGGGGAACACAAAATGAGTGTTTTTATCTGTGCTTTTCAAATGTTTTAAAGACAGCAAGGTCAAAGCTTACCTCATGATAGCACTGTTGTTGATACATACCTTAAGCAGGTGGTTGAATTGCAGCGATGAAGAGTGCTGCTAATGAGACTGATGGCAGTGGTAGGTGTATTGCTTCCCTAAGTCACGTGGTATTGAGATGAAGCTCACTATTAAATAATTTTCTGCATGTGGCTCACATATGCTTAAAATCTACGTGCTGAATGAAAGTTGGAAATACCTGAGACGAATTAGAAGGCAGCTATGAATTAGACTCTTTGCAAAGGAATTTTCAGCCTCTGATACTTGGTTACATTAGATTATTTAGCCTCTCTTTTCTGTCAGTGCAAATGAGATCATAACTCACATGTGCATGAAAGCAAATGGATGGTTTAGATCTAAAAATGCACAGCTGCCTAACTTTGATTTGTATTAAAGACAGACATAGAAATGATTAATTCCAGTGTCTTGGGAATTACATTTAAGTCTTAACAAAAGTAGGCAAATTATGCCTCAACCTCTGAGTGCACCAAGGTACAAATGCAGTCTTGTTTGATCATGTGATGGCGAGATAAATGTCAGAAACAGGCTCCAAGCCAAAATTAAGCAATTTGTAGAAGGGCAATAACAATTTTGGAAATGACTAGCACCTTATTATGGGTGAAATCAAATATTTATCAACTAACTTCAGAAACCTGTTTGTGTTGTTGCGCAACGTGGTTATTTTTCTTTCAGAATAAGTAGTGAATCCAAGGTATTTTTTAATACAGAAAAGATGCACTTGGCTGTACCGTCTCAGGATCCTGATGAAGGTGTGAGTTTACTCTTTAGCTTTGGCTGTCACAGTAAAGTGGCATCAACCTGCACGGAGAGTCCTTACTCAGGAGCACTTGAATTTTTGCTAAAGTATCAGTGTTGCCATTTAGTCCAAAGACAGTAAATGGATGAAAGTGTTAGAAGTTTACAATTGGGTTTGGTAGGATTTGACATTTCCTTCTTGCTGCTGACGTTCATTGCCTGGGGAGAGATGTAGAAAGAATGAAAAAAATGCACTTCTGATCAAATTTGAAGGCTTATAAAAATAGGATAGCATTAACTCAATCTTTTTTCTGTTGATGCTAAAGAAAAAAAGTGAGGTTTATGAATCTGGGCAAGTCGCGAAAGTCTTATCTTAGAACAAGGGACAGCGTTTCTTCTGGTTCTCAGTGCAAGGTTGAATGTTGCTCTTTGGGATTTTTGGCCTGTCTTGAAATTGGAGCTGGGCTCCGGAAAACTCAGGGGCAGACATCCCTGCCGCAGGCTCACCTGGCTTCCCAGGTCTCATGGAGGAGCATCTTTAATGACCCTTAAACCCTATTGATCGCAAGGGACCTCAGCTGCCTTTTGTCAATCTGCAATGATCTTGCAGCAGGAAAACAGCCTTTTCCGGATGTTGCTTATTCAAGCTTTTAAGCAGCAACGTCTGATCTTACAAGTTACGTCCATTTCTCTCCACGTTGGTCTGAACTTTTCCGTTTTGGAGCAAGTTACTGCGCTCTCACTGGTCCTTTGCGTACCTCTTAACATAATAGGACTGAACGAGTTGGAAGTAGTGCTGTAATTTAAAATAAACACAGCTGTCAATGCATATGCCAATTTCTATTCTAATGGATCTTCCAAAGCTACTACATACATAAATTGTAGCTTTTTAGGTTTCAAAAATATTCACAGGCTGGGAAAAGCTTGGGCTGTAATTTATTTCTTAGGAAACATACTGATGGAGTGGCTCCAAAACGAAGAAGCCTCCTGTCTGCATGTTTGCTCTGTTCTGAAAAGAAAGCAGAATATTTTATATTGAGAGATGGTTGAAATAGTGTGTTTGTGTTCAAGAATTAAACCAGGATGCTTATGACATAGCATGTAGTGACTTGCATAACATGCAATGCAGAAATTGAAGCTGAGTCTCTGGGTGCATCATGCTGAGTAAGAGGCTTGTTCTACACGAAACTGTCATATTAAATTCTTGTCGTGATTCCAGACCCCTTTGATTCCTAAATCTTTTGGAGGAGACTAATCTGAAATCAAAGTGAAGTTGCTTGGGGTTTGCATGCCAGAAGTGGTCACATTTGAAAAAGTTCAGTGAACCTGCAGAGAGAGGTTGAAATTAGTTGCTTCACTACAAAGCTTACAGCTAACATACCTGCTGATTTGCTTTTTGCTTTGATTCTTCAGGCTCTGCCTTCTTGCCACCTTCTGAGTTGTTTTCAAAATGCATAAATCTTAAGGATGAGCATGTCCTGGTTTCAGTCTGTTTAGTTCAAAAAAAAAAGTAAATCACTCTGCACTGGTAAAACAAACATGAGTTTAAATACTGAGGACACGGAAAGACGGGTTTTCTCTTCTGCCTTGTCCTTTGAGCAATTATTTCCCTCTGTGAAAGTGTATATTGCACTTTACTGTCCTGATTTACCAACATTTGACCTCCCTTTGTACCAAGGTAAATGGAAATGGTTCCTTTCAAGTTCTTCTAAGTAGATACTGAGGGCTCCTGCCTTGATCCCTGTAAGATGACTCTGCTCCTTTGAAACCATTGGAGCAATGCCAGGAATCCAGCCTGTTATCCCTGCTGAATGTCAGCTGCTTTCTCTGTTTTGATATTGGCATTTTGGGGGGCTTTGACCAAGAATATCATGCAATATTAAGTGCAAATGGGTGCATTTCCAGTGGTTAAAATCTGCCCTTCCATGTCCCCCTCGAGCTTTGTGTAGGCTGCCGGGGACCTGGGGATGTGCTTTTTGGTTCAGTTAAAAGGAAATGCCCTGAGTAGCCATGGCCCGTGTGTAACCATGTAGCTGGCCCTGTGTGAAAGCTGATCTGTTGTTAACTTTATATTTACAGTGTTCTGTCTCCTGTGGAAGGGGCCAAAAGCACCGCAATGTGTACTGTTTGTCAAAGGAAGGGAGGCATGTAGAAGAAGATTATTGCAAGCACCTTGCTAAGCCCAATGTGCAAAAGAAATGCAGAGGGGGCAGATGTCCGAAGTGGAAAGCAGGAGATTGGGGACAGGTGAGACACGTTGTATACCCTTTTGCACCCTTTGATATTCTTCCTCCATCCAACTGGATAGAAGCTGTTTTTCCTGTCACTTCTGTCCTCTTGAAGTTTTCAAGGGTAAAAGTTTTTGGGCCAGATCCTCAGGTGGGATAAAACAGTGTAGCTTCATGGATAGCAGTGGAGCAGCACTGATTTGTACCAGCTGAAAACGTGGCGACTTACTTTTAGTATCTAACTGAAAGCAAATTCCTTAGCATATAATATTAAAGAGAATCTTCTATTTATTAATTTTTTAATATAATTATTTTTTAAATGTGTTGCATCCAGAGTAAAATCTTTTTTGGCTTTGAGAAATCTGAAATTAAATTTATTATCAGCTTCCTGGGAAAGCCTAAAGAACAATCCGAGCTGTTGATTAAAAATGCTTTTCACTACTTTTTGTTTCTTAACAAGCTCATCAGTTAATTTTGCTTCATTAAAAAGTCAGACACTGATGCGTAGAGCAGAGGCTGCTGGAAATACGAAAGTGCTTGGAGTTATTAAGTATCTTGTTTGCTGAAAGCATAGCTTGAATCCTTGTTTTCTGAAAATAATGTTTTTGTCATCACCTTGAATCTGCTGCATCACATCTCTGAACCTGGCTTTTCTCTCTAGCCCATTAGTGTGCTAATCAGCAGAATTATTGAAAATCTCAGACTAAATGAACTGTTAACTTGTAAAACATCATATTCTCTTGCGGTCTGTCTTCCAAATTAAGGTACAAAACACCAATTCTCACTGTATGCCAGTTCCCTGAGAGATAAACCATTAACACCGCTACAGGCTCCCATGCAAATGTTAGGACTAGGACAGCATGCTCTTGTTTAACATGGACTAGTAAAAAAGCAAATAAACCCACTGATGTTCTATGATTGCTTTCAGTCTTGGTTGGTTTTGGTTTGGTTTTTTTTAGTTTTTTTTGAATGCTTACCTTTGTATTCATAGGACAGGAGTATTTGCCCTTACGTGTGTAAAGGGATGAGATTGTATTCACCATAGAGGTTCAGTTACTGAGGTCTGGGTCTGTTACACAAGGTATGGCTGGGAGCACCCAGGTTGCCCTGTGAAATGCACAGTACTGCTCCCATGCTGAAAATTAAATAAATATTATTACCTTTATTACCTGCAGGACTTATACCTCAATTTTATGCAGGAAGCTAGACTGAAAAGAAATACAAGGCCGTGAGATGGTCTTGTCATATCTGATTTGCACTTTATTTAAAGAGACGGCTCCTGAAAGCAGTTTTTTACAGCTAATAATCGAAAACATAATAATGTAATGGTCTATCGGTTGCATTAAAATACGTTAATATTAATTGATAAAAGTAAGTGTTTTAAAATTCCCAACATTCCACTGCATGAACAGAGTTAATTTTATGTAAGTAGAGAAAGAAACCCAAGTTAATAGGAGGATGTGGTGATTTATGACCTGAGGTAATCTCTTGTGACTAGGCAATTAAGGAATATTTGTATGCTAATAAGACAAAAGAATAGGCAGTGCATTTCCAGCAGTATTTGCAGCATGGGGGTAGCTCCGCAGCCCAGGTCCCCGATGCTGTCTGTGCTCAGCCAGACGGCATCTTGCTTGGGGAAGACACAAAGGGGTAGAAACTCTCATTCTGCAATATCAAACTGGGCTTTTTACAGTCACATGAAGTGCTCTGACATGATGTCCTTGCATCCTGATCCTCACTCGTGCTGGCAGCGCTTGTTTGCCTGCGAGAGGTGAAGAGTTGGGGCTGTTGGGAGCACTGGCCGTGGCTGTCCCTGCCAGAGGCGTGCAGGGCTTGCACGGCTTTGCAAAAGATATAATAAATACCTCAGAGCCGAGGTGGATTTATGTGCTGAACTTCTCATTAAGGCTATGAAACAGGCAGGGCTTTGGCGCTCTGAGTACCCGGTAGATCAGGATCTAAATGGGCACGGAAACTCCATGTCACCTTCTCTGCCATCGGTGCCACTTGTTGAAACTAGGAGCCGTGATCAGTTTGCACTTAGGTACTATCGAAAAAGCTTTCTGAAGGTCTAATTGCCTCCAAAAGATACTCCCAAAGCTGAGCTGATATGAGCTGGCTGCTGCCTTTTGTCCTGGGTAAACCAGCAAAAGTTTTGCGTGAGAAATAAGGCAGGGTTTTCCTATAAAAGTGCATCCTCCTTGTCATCATATCTGCACAGGACCTGTTGCATGTACCTTTAGAGTTTTTTTTTCTTTTGGGAAAAGGAATGATTGAAAAAAATCAAGATTAAAAAATATAGGAATGGTTAAAAATTAATCCCCACCAACTGAGCCAAGCGCTCCGCTCCCAAGTTTTTTTTCTCTCTGGGTGTTTTGTATTCAGAGGCTGAGTAATTCTTCTCTAGACTAAGAAGCCACTTTCCTGCAGCAAAGCATTTTTAATATATCTGTAATAAACAGAAGGGAAGAAAAAAGGCTTTTTCTCCAAGTTTTAAATATGCTTATGTCTGCACTGAAATGTCAGATTTAATGTGTTTGCATCTCCTAAGTAGTATCAATTATGGCCATTTACCTTTCACTTAGCAAAAATACCAATATTTATTCTGCTGTCTGGTATTTACATATTTCAGCTGCAGGCTGAAATCCAGCCCTGTATAAAAACACAGGTAGAGCATGGGTAGAGCTTCTCCATAGCCAAGCTGGCACTCGGGAGTTTGTTGATGGTCTTTCTCAGTGGAGAAAAGAGCACTCCTGGGAAAACATATAGACTCCGTAGAAAGGACAAACAGGCTGTCTGGCTCGTGGCATCCCATAGGGGAGTATATATAAGTACAACATAAGTTGGCTGCTCTCAAACTGAATATCTTCTGGCAGTGTCACCCGGCTGTATTTCCCCAAGGTAGACACAGGTTGGCCGATCAGTATTCTGGATTAAAACGGCCAGGATGAAAATGGTGTTAAAACCCACCTTTTTTTGCCTTGATGAGAGAGCATAACGGTGTTATTTTGAAGCCAGCCATAAATCCAGCCACAGCAATACTGATGCTGCAGTGGGAAGAAGCACCCCGCAAAAGGAGATGCCTCCATCCACTAGGAAAACTCCCGTGAGCCCGACTCACCCACTTTTGGGTGCAGCCGTTGCCCCCTCCTCAGCAGGGCTGTCAGCCCCCCCGCAGCCCTCCTGTGCCCCCAGGCTGGGCTCACCTGCAGCTTC